GGATCCCCTAACCTTGACATTTATTATTGTCATTATTTAATCCTTACATTTATCTTCCATCTCAAAATTCTCATCAACTTCTTCTTCTTCTTTATTATTATTATTACTACCACTACCACTACTACTACTATTACTATTCTTGTTGTTGTTATTGTTGTTGTTGTATTATTGTTATCTATAATTTATACAATTAACCTTTCTGTTGTTCGTCCTCGATCTTGTTGGGTTATTTATTACTTCGACACTCTTACACTTGGGAGAAGACATCAATCTTCTAGTTGTGTCAATATCAGACTTGTTTATTATAAAACATGTTTTAGTTAATAAGTTATTAATACTTTAAGTATAAAATGATGATATAAAATCTTGATAAAAATTACTTTTAAATACTAATCATCTGCAATCTCCATATGCCATACTTGATTGAGCCGGTACACATAATTATTATAAAACAATGAAAAAATATATATTAACATTCTATATTGGTAATGTAAATTGTACAATACTATAATAAACCCTAGTTATTTTATATCTGGTTTGGGAATGTAGTTATGGTTACTTTTTAAAATAGTTTTATGATAAAATACATCAAAATGATATTTTTTTATTTTAAAAAAATTATTTTTTAGATCAATGCATCAAAACGATCTAAAACATATATAAAAATAATTTTTAACAAAAAAATTAATTTTTTTAAAAACACGATTCACATCGCATTTCCAAATAGATGAGCATTGTAAAGTAATGTTCAGTGATATGATAGTTTAGATTTTTATATACGTAGCTTCACAAACCATAATTTAATCCTTTCACCATCTATTAATTTCTTAAAACTTGTTATTTCTTTCATAAAATAAATTGATCAAGCTATACTTTATAGACTATAAATGTAAATAAAAAAACTCAAGAGTGTGATGTTAGGATTTTTAAACTAGAGGGACTAAACTAACTATTTTTGTAATATCTTGTAATTTCTACATGTAAAATAGCTTCTTTAAGCCTTAAACTTGGAAAATTAGGTTTATTTTTTATATTTTTTTTTACATGATACAAGACTATTACGATTTATTCCTTACACTTGTATCTTCCTTTATTAATTTGAAATATAAAGAATCAAATCACCTCCAAACATGATATTCATAATAACTTTTACCTTTCTTAGGGAGTCAATATATAATATTTAAAATCAATTATAGTTTGATAACCAAATCATTTTTTTATTAACATGTACATATGTCACATTCATTAACTTAATAATTCTCAATTTCGTTATTTACAGCAAATCCATTATTCAAGCCCTTCACATCATATTTATATAGGTATATTTCTGTTCACCCCTCATGTCATCCAATAAATAAATTTTTCTAGCTATATCTAACAAGCAACTTTATCAATATAAAAAGAAACACCACAAAGATGCATTCATTTACAAACAAAAATGATATCATATATTTTTTTAATAATTCAACTTTTATACAACAATTTAAAATTCTCGTTCTTCATATCCTTAGTCATTTAACAACTAACTTGTCTTATTATAGTTGATTTCAATTATATTATTACTATTTTTAACTTATCATATTATATCACATCATTTCCCTGTCATTAACATATTTTCTCCCCCCAGGTAAAAGCATTTTAAAGGTTTACTTTATCTTTCATCTTAGTGGTCCATTGCATCACATGATTAGAATATTATTAAATTTATTTTTCTTTGTATACTCATGTTTGAATTGGATTCTCCACACATAATTTTATAATTTTATCCAAAATATTTCTCATTCTTTTTGTGTTTAACAACATAGTTGGTAGTCACATTCTAGCACGTGATCACCACCTTTGCCAATAAAACATCATTCTACTACAATTTA